CACCTCTAGTAATATATTTACTGAGAAAAATGTTGATGTGTTCAATACTTATTTTACCTGCTGTATCAAAGACAGCTCCAGAGGATCCCAAACAGTGTCCACCAGGTATCTGAGCTGGACTGAGAAGACAGAGATCACAGCTGTCCTCCTCCACACCTGAGTGTCATTCTCAGTTATAATGTACAGAGGAACTCAAATAAGATGTGGAGAACAGGTCATCAATACAAAAGAAAGAAGGGGAGAAAAAAACTATTACCAGTGTGAAAACTGTTGGACTAAAAGGCACATATTTCTGTGTGGCTTTTGGAGCAAATATTAAACTATTAGCTGCTGAGTGAATATGAACACCCCTCCCCCTTTACGGTGGAAGTGAACTTTCCTTTTATTGTATTTTTTCTTTACATGTTTTAAAGAATTGTTTTTAAAGATTGTTTCAATGAATTTTACAGATTCACAGAATCTGTAAAATTCATTAAAACAATCTGTATCTATTTCTCACACCGTACAATGATGGAGCATGCGAGGTGTGTGTGTGTACTTTTTTCTACTTGAGTGAGGACCATTTGCTTCATAGTTACTATCAAAGTGAGGTATTTGATGTAAAGTGAGGACCTCTTCAATGTCCTCAGTTTGTTTGCAGCTCTGCTGTGCTTTACTAGTTAGGTTAAGTTTTGATTCAGGTTAGGGTTAACCATAGACCAGTACAGTGTTGTATAAAGTACCTCAAAGTGATACTTGAGTAAAAGTACACATATCTTATCATAAAAATACTTTGGTAAAGGTTAAAGTCTTCTCTAAAAATATTACTTGAGTCTTATTGTACTTAAGCATCAAAAGTAAATTTCTGACAAAATCTACTTAAGTATTAAAATGTGAAAGTACTGAGTAAAAGTGAGCAGTTAGATTTTACTAAATGACATTTATTGGGAGGTGACTTCTCCAAAAAATATATTTTCTAACAGCGTGCAGCTGTGATGGGTTGTGTACAAACTAATAGTGTGTCAGAATGGTATATATTTATACTTCTCATCCAAACACAATTAAATTCACTCTATCCAGGAGACACTATTTATCAGGATAGTATTTTTAAGTAATAACAACTCAGAATAAAATAGGAGTAACAACTTTCTACTTCTTACCTTTTTAAAAAATGTCAGGAGTAGAAAGTACAGATAATTGTGTAAAAATGTAACGAGTAAAAGTAAAAAGTATGCTGAAAAATAATTACTCAAGTAAAGTACAGATAACCAAAATTTCTACTTAAGTACAGTAACAAAGTATTTGTACTTAGTTACTTTACAACTCTGGTTAGATGATCATAATCTTTAGATCGTCAGACAGAACTGCAGAAAAACAAGAGAATATTGTTTAAATATTACTGCAGACACAAAAAAACACAAACAGGATTTATTGTAGTGATGTGTCATTTCAAGTTCTATTAAAATTGTTAAAAATAAACCAGTTACGTCAAGTATTGAGCTCCAGCGTTTAAACTTTTTTTTTCACAAAAGGAGCTCCGATTGTAAAGTAAAATAAATCAATACATACAAAATTTAGTATGGATTACAAACGTTAACTGTTTTTACCTTCCTGCTACATAAGCAGACACAAAGCATTGTGGGAAATCAGAACCTTGACCAAGAGCAACAGTCAGCAGGATGTATACCTTCACAATAAGTGTGTTTATCTGGGAGGAGTGCTGTTGGACAGATCATGTGTTGTGACTCATTGACAGTCATACCTTCTGCTGTTCAACATAATGAAGACTGGTAGATAATTAGTTATTAGCGGTACTGCATTTTAATTTTAGAAAGCACAAATCAGCTTATGAATTATATAAATTAGTAAGACCGCTAAAACGCAAACAAAATATTTAGGTCCACAATTAGCGGATTTGCACTTTAGCGGGCTGGTGCCCACCACTGGTGTTTACATACAGAGGCTGATTACTGAAACTTATTAATGTTCCACACTCAAAGTGTATCAGCTTTGCACAAAAAAAAAAAAATACTGAAAAACTCACCTCAGTATGTTTGACCAACCTTAACCGTATTAATGGTTGAGAAATGAAGTCGATGACTGGGACAACTTTTTCAGCCTGGTCTCCCCCCAGGCTTGTAGTTTTACTTTGTGRTGTTGTGGCTTTGGCCTCCATATGTCATAAATCTGCTAACAGAGGAATAATATCCATATGTCACTGTAAAATAAGCTTAGGATGCTGAGGCTTGGGTAGTTTGTGTTCTTTGTTTAGGAATTTTCAGCAGTTTAGAATAATTTAATTTCCCTGAGRCGGTGGTTATTTTTGAGATGTTGTAAATGGTTTAAATTGAATTAAYATACTTGTGGTTGACACAAAGATGCCAGTCATACTTGTGTAGGAGCAGGATGGTTGCTTTACTGTGAAAAGATGTAATATTGTAAAGATCTCGCCGCTATCAGACGAAGGGTTTTACTACTTCAGAGCGTCTGCGACTTTTTTTTTCCTGTTTCTGTTTCCTCTTCTCCCTCTTTGCCACCACTTCTCCTTTTCTCTCAGTCCTCCTCTTTCTCTTTCACCCTGAACTTCCTGCCTCTCACACGCCACCGACTGCGGACTCTCTTCTCTAAACGCCATGGAGCGCAAAGCGAAAACACAGGTGCCCACTTTGGGTTGGTGCTGGCTTTGACTCGTGTCTTCTGTTTGTCTTTCTCTCCGAACGTCCAGAAGATGAAGACCCTGGCCCAGKGACGACAGTCTGCTCCATCGCTGGTCATCAGCAAAGCGCTGACCAGGTCAAGAAGCACGTCCAGGTACCAGCAAACACACTTTCCATTATAACGAGCTTCAGTTTGGGTTGTATTTCCTCTGCAGAGCTGAGATTCTCTGATTGTTTAATGTTACAGAAAATGGCTTAAATATTTGCTTCATGCCTTTCAAACAGTTTCAGTGAAAAATGCTGTTTTGCTAATGACCATACTCTTCTTGTATGACGTTTGTTTAATTAGTGGCTCTTCACTTCTGGATATTTGTGCATCCGAACAGTGTTTTCATCCAGAAATGCAGACTTAATAAAAAAGTCAAACATGTCTCTTGGCTAAAACACTTTCAAACTAACATGGAAATGTTTACCAAGTCTTTAATGGGTGTGAATATTTGCACTGATTTMTGAACCTTTCATGTTTTGGTCAATGAATGTCCCAAGAAGGTCAGGCATGGATTATAAACCCGAGAGCACGAAAACACTGAGTTTAAAGGGATCCCTGATTAGTTGTAACATTAGACTATTTAATAAACATACATTTAACTGTAAAATAAAGACTAAAAATACTGTAGGATGTTTAGTTTTTGTAATTTTTAAACTAAAAGTTTAAAAATATATTACACGGACGG